ATTTCACGCCTGGCAACGAGCCGGCTTCGTACAACTCAGGCTCTTTGCCTTAATACACATTTGCTTGGTGAGGTATGGCCTAATTTTGGCTTACCTCTAACTAAGCCGATAGCCCTTCATTGTTTGAAGGGGCTGTCCTGTATTTGCGTGAAATACTTTGCGAGGAAACTCGCCTTACAGTCTGGTGTTTGACCAGACTGTACGCACTGTTTTCTTTTCTTTGCAAACAGTCGTGCGCGCGATCTTTGCGTGCGACTATGCTCTCCGTCTCCTCCCCTCCCGACTTTAAGGGTAGCTCTTTGGGAGATGTTACAGTATCGGGAGCATAGCTCGCGCGCCGCTGCCTTGGGCTCAAGGCACGCGCGCCCTATTTGCCCGGACACCGCGAGTGTTCGCTATGTGCTGGAAAGATCATTACATCGATCTTATCCTATCTTACCCATCCACCCCTCATACTGTACCTTCACAGCAGAGCGATGGATGCAATTTGCCAGGCTATATGCCCTATTTGAGTTACCAGGCTCACTTTCGACTCCCATGTCCAAGCTTCCAAAGCGCCGTGCGAGTGTAAATCTTCAGAGATTCTGCGCGGACGCCTTGCGGCTCGGCACCGAGCCTCCTTGCGCCGCCCCCTTGCGCGCTCCGCACTCCAGGGAGGGCGGCGTCCGGCGCCGACACACGAAATCCCCGCAGATCTCCGAAAACCTACGTTTATGCCCTTCCTTCTTCGAGCTAGCATCGAATTAGCTGGGCGGTCGGCGGTTGCGAACGCAGCCATTGGGGCCGTCAGTGGAGCTCCCTGTGCGGCCGCGAAGCGTGTAAGGGGTGTGCCAAAATGGGTGCTGTAGGCGCATGCGAACGCAACCGCTGGGGTCGTCGGTGGAGCTCCCTATGGGGCCACGAAACGTGTTAGTGCGTACCGAAATTAACGCGGTGGGCGCATGCGAACGCAGCCACCGGGGCCGTCGGTGGGACCTCCACATGGGGCCGCGAAGCGTGTGCGGGGTGTGCGGACATGGGTGCGGTGGGCGCATACGAACGCAGCCACTGGGGCCCTCGGTGGAGCTTCTTACGGGTCCGCGAAGCGTGTGAGTGTGTGCGACAATGGGTGCGGTGGGCGCATGCGGTCGCAGCCGCCAGGGCCGTCGCTGGAACTCCTCATTTGCCCACGAAGTGTGTGAGGGGTGTGCCAAACATGGGTACGTAGGCCACCGGGGCCGTCAGTTGAGGTCCCTATGGGGCCATGAAACATGTGAGTGGTGCGCCGAAAATGGGCGCAGTGGGCGCGTGCGAACGCAGCCACCGGGCCCGTGGGTGGACCTCGATGTGGGCCCACGAACCGTGTGAGGGGTATGCCAAACATGGGTGCAGTAGGCGCATGCGAACGGAGCCACTGGTGATGGAGCCACGCAGCCTGTGAGGGGTGTGCCGAAGTGAATGCGGTGGGCGCGTGCGAACGCAGCCACCGAGGTTTTCGGTAGAGCTTCCTTTTGGGCCACGAAGTGTGTGAGGGGTGTGCGACAACGGGTGCGGTGGGCGCATGCGAACGCAGCCTCTGGGCCCCTCGATCGAGCTCCCTATGGGGCCGCGAAGCGTGTGAGGGGTGTGCTGACATGGGTGCGGTGGGCGCATGCGAACGCAGCGATTAGGGCCCTCGGTGCGCAGCCACCGGGGCCGTCGGTGGAGATCCCTATGCGGCCGCGAAGTGTGTGAGGGTGTGCCAAAGTGGGTGCGGTGGGCGCATGCGAACGCAGCCACTGGGGCCGCCGGTGGAGCTCCCCATGGGGCTACGCGGCCTGTGAGGGGTATGCTGAAAATGGGCGCGGTGGGCGCATGCGAACGCAGCCACCGGGGCCGTCGGTGGAGCTCCCCATGGGGCCGCGAAGCGTGTGAGGATGCGTCAAAATATGCGTTTTGGGCGCATGCGAACGCAGCCACTGGGGCCGTCGGTGGAGCTCCCTGTGGGGCAATGAAACGTGCGAGCGGTATACCAAGATTGTTGCGGTGGGCGCATGCGAACGCTGGCATGTGGACCTTCGGTGGAGCTTCTCAGGGGGCCACAACGCGCGTGAATCGTTTGCCGGAACAGGTACATGCGGAAGGCAGAGGCCAGGAGAGGGAGGAGGGAAGAGGAGGGGGAGGAGGAAAGAAGGAAGGAGGACGGAACGCGGCGCTCTGCCTCTTCGACACGAGGACCCAACACCACAGGATGGTTGGGAAAGCGGCACGATTTCTATAAATATTAGCTTTCGGCGTTGCACGCGGATTGCTAGGGTTGGAGCCTTGACCCTCCTGGCGGCGCCTCTGGCGCCGCCCCAGACGCGCTCTGCGCGCTCGGCGGGAGGGGTCCAGCGCAGATCCAAGAAAGCCGCCCGGAGCTCCGACAGTTTATGTTTATGCATTTGTTTCTTCTTCGATCTACGGGTAAACCAACCCGCCCAGGAACGTGCGGTTTCGTTATCGCTGATCTACCAGCGATGTATCTCCGATTCCAGGTCGACGTTTCCCCTCCATATACCAGTCCCCCTCATTTCGTTGCCCCTGAAGCTAACGGAGGTCAGCCACTCCGCTGAGATCTCCTCCTATTGTTGACCCGGGTCTGGGTTACGCGTGGAGTTGCCTCCCTTACGTTGCATATTCTGTGGACCTCGTCTGTTCTCAAAATTTGCGTTTGTTTCTGATGCCCCATGCGGATTCGGCGAGGTCGACATGGAGTCGACACGGATTCGACGCGGATCGGGGCGCGACGGGACCGACGAGGTCCCCAGAGGATGCAGCATAGTTCCTTTTCTCCCCACTAGCCCAGGCTTGGCAGAGATGTTGACGATGCCACGTCGACCTCGTCAAGTCCGCGTCGGATCGACGTCGAACCCGCGTCGAATACACGTCAGATCCGCGTCGACTCCGCGTCGGCCACAAGAAAACACCGGTTTTGAGAGCAGGTACACCGCACTCACATCTATACCCCTGGGTGGGTGTATGTGCGGCCGTTTTTGCGCTGTCATGTGCGCGCATGTGCGCGGCATGTGCCAGTCACGTGCCAGGCCTGTGCGGCCCTTCTTGGATGGACTTCCTACTGTGCACGTCGTGCCCGGGCATGTGCGGGGGCATGTGCGTTGTGTTTTGGTCTATCCATCATACGCACATGCACGCACAGTCCGACGCACATGCGCGCACATGCCTGCACATGCGGGAGGTGTTTGAGAATCGCTTGCCTGAGACATCCTCGCAACTCTGGGTTGCGAAATGCCCCAAGCTCAGGTGGTCAGGCCACTATCGCCTGCGACATCTCTGCGGCATGTGCGGGCATATGCGTCTATGCTTTCAGAGCTTTGCTTGACCGTGCATTCGACTGTGCTTCGCACGGTGTGGCATGTGAGCGCATGCGCGGCAATGCTCTTGAGGCTTTTGTATATTTGCATGGGCATGTGCATGCGACTGTGTGGCATGTGCCTGCATGTGCGGCCCCTTCCGGATCACAATTTCAAAGTGAGCACTATAGAAGTGAGCGTTATCTAAGTGAGTCCGGTGTAAGGTCCCCCGATGATGTAACGTAACTCTCCCTCTTTTCGCCGACCCCGGGCCTGGGAGAGTTACGATCGTGTGCCGCCATGCAGTTTGCCAGGCCTCGCGACGTGGCACTGGCAGGCCCAAGTTTGTGCAGACCTTTGTTCGGTAACAAGTCACGGTAGCCTTGTAGTCATACTCTCGCAGTTCCGTTTTTAGAGTGCACTAGCGTCGACTAGCGGTTTATAATCGGTGAGATAGCGCTGGCTTAGCCTCGATTAGCGTCGATCTAGCGTCGATTCGCAAGAGCCGACAAGAGTTGCCAACTCTTGGCAGTCGGCCGGGGCTCGCGGCGTGGCCCTGGTATGCCCAAGTTTGTGGATATCCAGGACGGCGCGTCCCTGGTGGATTCGGTCTAGCTTCTTTTTCGGACGTTGCGTAAGGGGGAGGCGATAAAGGCAGGGGTTACGAAAGGTACACCTTTCGTGCCCGAAAGAGGCCCGCAAGGGGCACGAACGTTGCACGGTTTCCCTGCTCTCGCCGATTGCCCCCATCAGGCAACGCCCGACTCCGTTCTCCTGTGGTTCCTCAGCCTCGGGGGGCTTTCCACCAGAGGCCCGAGCTCCGATGCGACGGCCAGGAACCGGGAAGGGGCGTCGGAGGAGGGCCCGTCGAGACAACGGCGGCCCTCCCTCGCTGCTTTTGTTTCTCAGGGAGGCGTGTTGTCGCCACGGATGAGCCCCGCGCCGAAGAACGGTTCCGGATGGACCCCGGGAGGGGTCTTTGGCCGGGGGGCGGATGTTGAACGTGTGAGGTAAGTTTTGCTCCGAGGCAGCGACAGCGGGGGACTGGCCCAGAGCGGGAAAAGAGCACTGGCCCCCAATCGCCCATTCTTTGCCAATCGCGGCCTGGCTCCCCTATGCCGCCCAGGGACGAGCGGTTTCGCTATCGGGGGCCCAGCGCCGATCAATCGGCGGGGTATCGCCGATTCTTGGTCACCGTCTCCCCCCCCTGAGTCAGTACCCCCCTAATTAATCGTTCCCCCATCCGCTGAGCAATTGCTGCTCGGTCTGTTCCTGACGCGCCCACGTATTTTAGTGCTGCGTTCGTATCGGGCTTGCTGCTGACTGGGACGTAGTCATGTCCATCGTCCTGTTGTTTTTCTTGTGGGTCGGCTGTTCATGGCTTACTCCTGATACGTCCAGGCGTGTGTCTTGCCACTGCTTTTCCGAGTGTTCGTACCAGAGCCCCACGGGTCTGTTTGTGGGCGCATCGGGGCATCTCTTCGAGCGCGTCAATCTGCAAGCGTGCCCCTGGCAGGGGTCTGCTGCAGCCGGCAAGCTGTCCAGTGATTCTATCGTCCAGCGAGCACGTTACGTTGTAACAGCCGGGAAGATATTTGCCGCACGCTTGTGATTGCAACGAGGCCACAGGTAGCATTGCGCATTGGTCAATCGAGACATCATTTTGCTAGTTTTATGCCACGCGGCGAGGAGCAGGAGTGCAAGAATTACAACAAGGGTCAGGCGGAGGCTCAGCCTATTTTTCCCAGTGGGCGCAAGCGTGCATGCTTGGACAGAGGGCAGCCTGCGCAGACCGTTCAAGAACCCTTAAGAGCCAAATCATCCAGGTATGGTTGGCGCATCTCGCGGCCTGTCCCGATCTGTCCCGCGCCACCTTGCGGATTGATGGTGCTGATGTTGGAGGCGCTTCATGGGTTGGGTGCAGGGGGCTCGTGCGGAAGTCGCTTGGGCAATCATGTGAGCGACGCAGAAAGACGGGTTCGATTGCGCGGACATTTGCCCGCAAGTTGCCCGCGTGAGGTCGCGCATAAGTGTTATTCTGCCAGTGTCTCGTGCCGCGCTGGCGGCTCGCGCAAGCCACCGCGTAAGGTCGCCCTGCCATCGCGCGTGAGGCCCTATTCTTTTCGTCGCACATGTGGCCGTTGCGTGGCCGTCTGTAGCGATCTGAGGGTATCGTGAGACCTCTCGGGGTCATGAGTGGTGGCCTTCGCTTCATTCGTGGCGCTGTGGGTTGGCCTTGGCGGCGGCGCCAGGCCTCCTGGGGCCTCCGTATGGTCGCCTTGGGGCCGCCTCGGGTCGTCGAGACGCCGCCTCGCGCAGATGGTTTTCAGGTGACTTCTGCCTGCCTGGTTGGCGTCGCAGGGTCCGTTTTTGGTCGTCTCCCAAGCGGGAGTCATTCCGACCCCCCCGACTCGACTCGATGTGATTTCGATGGGTTCCGATTCCGATTCGATTCGATGTCGGATTCCGATTTGGATGTACGTGTTTTTGTGAAGGCCGTGCTGCAGGTGTGCTCCCCTTTTCGTCTTCTTTATACATACGAAGCTGGGGTACTCAACTTGGGGCCGATCCGCGTGTCGGGGTGCAGTGACGGGGATTCGTGATCGTGATCGCGGCGGCGAGGGCTGCTTCGTCGCCGTCGCCGTCGTCTTCGTATCCACGGCGAGGCCGCCCGTGGCCTTTTTGGTTCGGCCCTGCTTCCCCTATCCCGACAGCGATTGCCAACCGAAGACATCAAGAGAAACGCCGGGCCTGGGCTCCGCGACCTGGCAGCTGGAAAGGGCGCGCTGGTGAACCGTCGCAGAGTCGACCTCTCGAGCGCCAGTTCTCGCTGCTTCTGCGCCCACGTGGCTACCGCCTGCTCCGCGCAAGACCAGCGACGTCGCGCCGAGGAACCACGGCCCAACGATTCCGTTCCGCCCCCGCCAGTGCCAAGAGCTCAGGGCGCGCGACTAGGCGCAGGCGCCACGGGCACGTCAAGTAGTAGTGTGCGGTCGCCGCCTCATCGTGGCGGCGTTATCGCGCGCACCGCGGGTGTTGTCGTTGCATCTCCGCAGGCGGTGCACGTGGTTCGGCGCGGGCGCCGCAGGCGCGCCAAAGAGTATCGCGCAGGCCTCGCGTCGCCGTCGCGCTGTTTCTGCAGGCGCTGCGGGGGCAGTCGATTCTACCCGCGCGGGCGCCGCGGGCGGCCAGGCACGGGCGCCGTGTGCGCGTCAAATGCTGGCCGAGAGCTTCGCAAGCCCGGCCATCGCGCCGTTAGCGCGGGCACCGCGGGCACTGGTTTCTATTCGCGCGGGCCCCCCCATGCCAAAGCGCCAGCACGTCCAACGCGTCAAGTCGGATGATGCAGGCGTCGCTGTGTCATCGCAGGCGCCGGCGCAGGGACGCTGGACCTTGTCGTTTGTCGGCGCAGGCACGCCACCCCGTCCAGAATGGGGGCGGGGAAACGCGCGCGAATCTTAGCGTCGCGCCAACGCCATTCCCCCCAAAGGGGCGTCGCGCCCTCTGCGGGGGCGAGCGCAGGGCGGGCGGGGTCGCGGGGGGGGGGCTTGAACCACTGAGCGACGCTTCGGAAACTCGAGGAAGCAATGAACAGCCGCGGCGGCGGAGGTTTACGTGCGCACCACGCAACGCGCAGCGATCAAAATATCGATCACCTGGCCCAAGAACGAAATTTCTGCACACGGCCGAAATTGGGCAAGGCACCAGTTGCCGTCTTCCCATACGTAGGCGATCCGCTAACGAACATATCCCACCGATCAGTTTTGAGAGTGGAAAGTCAGTAGAGTCGGTGCCGTGTGCCTCCTTTCTTGCCTCCGTTCTTGCCTTCCTTTCGTTGGTGTGTGTCCTCCCTCTCTCCCTGCTTGGTTTCTCCTCCCTGTCCCCCGTCTCCCCGTCCGTCGGCCCGGCCTGTCTTCCTGTCGTCCTTTCCTTGCCCCCCCTCCTCTCCTTGGCTCCCCGGCTCCTCGCTCTCCCGCTTTTTCGTTTCCCTTGCTTGTCCCGCGTTTCTTTGTCGGCCTGGCCCGAATAAGAGTCGCTCGGTCGAGGCTGCTGCGCCGGCAAATCGCCGGGCGCGTCATTTTCAGTGGTGGTCCCCAATGGGGCTTTCACACCACCAGGACAGAACAGAATCGGTGCCGTGAGGCTCAGCGTTCCCGAAATTGTGCCAATGTTTCTCATAATAAGCGGATCTCGATGCAAAAGTCATTTGTCCATCAGTCTGGGGATGTGTGTCGTGGACTCGGGCTTCCCTTGGCATTGAGCCAGACGGAGCCCGACTCCGAGATCGATCTTCCTCGGTTCCAGCCGCCGCCGTCGATTGCGTGGGGACGGGGCGGCTGTTCGGATCGAGTCTCTGGCGCCTCTGCGTTTCATTCGTGGTGCCTCTCTGTTTCGGTGCGCGCCTCGCATATGTCGACGAGGGGCACTGTTTTGGTCAGCACCGCAACGTCGCACCGCCTAACTTCGCCCGAGACGAACCACGTTCCTGGAGCAGGGGTGCACGTTCTTGTCGTCGGCTCTCTATTTCTTTCTTCCTCTCTGCCTCTCTCTCTTTCTCTCGCTCTCTCGTTCTCTCAATATCTCTCTCTCTCTCTCTCTGTTGCGTTCTATCTCTCTCTCTCTCTCTCTCCCCCTCCCTTTCGTCATGTATCAGTCTCTTCTCTTTCTCTCTCCCTCTTCCTCTTTCCCTTTCTCGTTCACTTCCCGCTTACATCGCTGCTGACACTTCACCATCAGGCGTGCACGTGCGTGCAGGAGGACCAGTTCAGGTCCGCCACAGAGGACGGGCCGTCTTCCCATGGGCATTGACAGTGGGGAGAGAAGTTCGGTGGTGAAGGCAAAGGACCCCAATCGCCCATTCGTCGCCGATCGGGGCTTCGTCCCCCAAGCCCGCCCAGGAGCGTGCGGCTTCGATGTCGGGGACCTACCCCTGATCTTTCCGCGACGTATCGACGACTCGAGGTATCGATGATCCTTGGGATCCGACGTTGTGGGGAAATGCAGCATGATCGACCCACGAGCCCTGAAACAGATGAGGCATTGCTACGTTGTAGAGACACCGGATTGGGCGACAAGCTATTGCATTGCTGCAGGTATCGATCGTGATGTGCGTACCGTGCCAAGGTTTGTGTTGTGTTTTGACTTGATGAAATGAGATGTGTCATGCCGCGATTACTTGCGATGTGTTGTATAGTGTTTGGGGTCAAGTAGCCCTTGGCCTCCGAATCCTGACCGAACTGATCCGCCTCATAAGCTCGAGCTGCCTTCGCGCAAAGCTGGCCCAGAGTTAGGCGCAGTCGCAGCGCGTGGGGCGCTCAATCGGCTCGAACTCGAGGTCCGACTCTGTTCCGGAGCGGGACGAAGACACTGGGCGCAGGGCGCATGGACGCGCCACGGAATGTGCCAGGGGCGCGTTCGGGGATGCGCCGGGGGATGCGTCAGGGGCAGTGGCAGGGGACGCGGCCGGAACGGGTAGGGAAAGCGCCAGAGGACACGCCAGGGAACGCGACAGGGGACGAGCCAGGGACGCGCCGAGGGGGGAAGGGCATACGCCGTCCCACCCACTCTGGGGCGTTCGGAACCCAAGTGTTTTCAAGCTTGTCCCGCTCTGGGGCGTTAGGCGCCCATTCGTTTTCACGCTTGTCATGTCGCAGCAGAGGCGCATGCGCAGGTTGGCCAAGAAGATAACATCTGAGATGGATGCGTCTCCCTCCTCCTGGGGCAGCAGCCAGACTCCTGCCCCAGGCCCCCTGGCTCCGCATAGTGTGCGTTGGCCGTCCTCGTCCAGCGTCTGCAGGAGCCGCGCTCTCTTGGCGAAGGTCCTCTTCCCCTGTGCCCCTGCTGTTTGGCCTCAGGCTCGGCCGAGGAAGCTGCCCAGTCCAAGGGTTCGGCTTTTGCCGCCTCCCTGTCGGGCTCCGCTTCGGCGCGGCGCCAGGTGTCGATTGTCTGAGGGCAGGGGGCGGGGACCCAGAGAGGGAGTTCTGGACGGGGCGGGGGAAGTGGCGGAGGCACGTCAAGGTCGAGTCTTGAGTTTCGGTCTCTCCTGGGGGGCACCTGGACCCGCTGCCAGCCAGGTCGTGGATGCTCCTTGATGCCAGCCGAGCCGCGGGTGTTCTTGTTGTCATTGACGTTGTTGTTCGCAGGCGATCTCTCGCCCCCGATCCCCCAGTTCTCTCGAAGAAGTCGGGCCGCTCAGAAGTCCCTGCCTGAAAGCCCTATCAAGTCGAGAGCGCCACCATTTTTGCCTGTCTGGTCGAAGACCCATTGCAGAGTCGGGGGATGGGGCCGCCAAGCCCCATCGACAGTTGCTGCCTGGAGGGCGAAGGCGGGAGGGGTTGGACCTTTCTTTCCCCCCCCTCGCCCTGGGAAGAGGACAAGCTCAAGAGCTTCTACAAGAAGTACAACCCGGAGAAGTTGGACACGTCCGGGAACATCAAGGACAGCGAGGATGTCTGGAAGAAGTGGGAGAAGAAGGAGCCAGACCTCATCATGGCTCTGACCAACAAGTACAAGGCGTCCTCCGCATTGCCTTCGAGGCGCAGTCGAAAAGGACCACCAGGACGACCAGCTTCCACAGCGTAACTTTGCATCCTTACCTCCTGGGCCATCTGAACCGCGGGCCATGGGCTTCCACCTTGGGCTTCGATATGGGCGTCCGATGGCATCGAGAAACTCCCACCCAGACCAGT